TCTTAAAAATATTACCAAGTATAAACTAATATATGGTAAACACTAACATATTTTATATAATGAACTTATCAAACTAAACAATATAAACTTAAAACTACATACCCTTTCAGAATGACAAAACTTCAGAGATGTGATTACTGTCTTGCTCCATTGGAATTTGCAGCAGTAATGAAACAAACTTATGAAAAACTGCCTGATTTACCAAACAAACTGCCTGTTTACCAGCCACCCTTGATTGGGGTATCAATGCACCCTCTATTAATCCCTTAACATGAGATGAGCTATTTACTTGTGGTGGTATGAATATGGTAGTGATGAGGCATCCTCCCTCATCAGGGTAATAAACCAATTGGGCAACCTTGTGGTTAGTGGTCATTGGGCAATGGTATGTGGTAGAATGGAACTAATGCTAAAATAGCATCAGCCGTAGCACATGCTGCCTTTACTGATACCTGACTCTTTGTCTTCTGCTTCTCTAAATTCTCAACTTGAGCCAGCCTTTCTAACAGTTCTTCATCAGAGATACTTGGGTCTTGCAGATACTCACGCATCTCACCTATCAAGGCTCTACTCAATCCAGTCTGTAGCATCTGTAGAAAAGTGTTCTGCAGTAGGTGTTCATCATAGGAAATTGGTGCACCCTCTTCGTTTGATGAAAATTTAACTTCTTGCCGAAGATTCATCGCTCTTACTACGAACTCAGGTGCCGATTCACCGGTTCTCTGGTATGCTGACGACAGCTTCTGGTAGGAATCAAGGGCATCGCCTTCTTTAAAATGGGATCGTAGTACTCTCCTCAATTGTGCTAGTGTCAACTCAGGACGGGATTCTAAATATCCCCTTAAAGGCGATCCGTTAGTAACTACCATCGTTACAGCATTGATAATAGCAGCCCTATCATAACCTTGTGAAATGCCGTCTTCCATCTGTCGTATTATGCTTAGATATGAGAGCTTGTCAGCCTGTCCCGGCAAACCGATTTGACCTTTTATTTTAAATTCCCTTTTAAATACTTCAAGGGATGACGTCGGTGGAGTTGTCCCATTGGAGCTTGATGGAGTAGCGTTGAACCCCTCCAGCTTTGTTTTTATTAAAAACAGAATGGCTTTTCCGCCATCTTCCAGTGCCTCTACTTCTTCACTATCCAAATAACGCAATATATGTTTAAGGACAGCACGGATTGGTTTGTTTCTAATCCTCCTGTTTGATTTCCACAGTTACCTCTTTTAGCTGAGGTAAGGTCAGCTTGTATAAGCTGTCTTTAACTTCTTTCTCCAATACTAGGAGGTCCATGGTCATCTCTCTTTAAGTCGGATATTTGAAGGTCCTGGCAGGATTGCCAGATTTAACGGGTGCTCCAGGGAGATATTACGACTGTGAAAGAATTACACAGACCTCAATTAGATGTCGGCATCTTAGTATCAGATTCTTTTAATGGTGGTGAATATGATACTCGAGGCCAAACCCAAAAGTCTGGTCATGTGACTTTTCACAGGTTCTATTCTGGTAGAATCAATTTTTTTGTAGGGGTGGCTAATTTCTAGGCTGGTAACATTCTTTCTTATGATTCACCAAAGTGCTCTTCAGTGTGGTGACTTTTTCAACTCGTTGACTTCCACATCTTGCCAATCATACGGTAATTCACCTGCATCTCTTTATTATTTGAGTAATACTGCTGGGCGTATCTGTTGGTTTCCGTTACCAAGAGCTCGAAAAAGTTGTCAATAAAATAATTTAATCATATTATAATCATATAATCAATTGGATTCTTATTCGTCATTCGAGCTTTGATTCGTTCATTTCCCGAAAAAGCAATATTTTTTTGGGTGTATTCTGCGGCTTGACATACTTTCTTCCACTTCCAATCATTTCAATGCGGTGTAGCACCATGTGCTGGATGAGGCTCTTGTTGCAGATCATTATCACCAACATCATTTTCACTGTCAGAAGCACATAACTCCACATAATAAAAATAAAGATTTTTAAAAAATACAAATTACAAAATTCTATTTTCTGCAGAATGGAAATACAATACAGATACCAAACAATAAAAATTAATAGAAATGAACATATTAAAAGTAACATACAGAAAATTACTAAAGTGTCTCACTATGAATACAAGGCTTGGGGATTTGTAATGTTTATACTCTAACATAATTCAATTTGGAAGTGTTAAAAGGGCCAACAAGTAAATGACTCAAAAAAACAAAAATTAAGTACAAAAAGAAACTTATATTTTACGTCCAATTCTGTGTCTGTTCCTGAGTTGTCTGAATTTTGTTAATTTTGCTTAGTTTAAGGTCCAACTCAGGAACAGACATACAATAATTGCATTTAATTAATCCATCAAATATTTATCTTATACTCAACCATGACAGACACTGTGAATGTGGAAATCAAGTTATAATCAACTATAATGACATTACATAAATAAAAATAATAACATGTTCTAATTGCACTTTTTCACATGCTTTTCATCAGGCCACAGTTTTCCACATAATTCTTTTTTTGTATTAAAATAAAAATTACTATAATAAACATAAGAGTACTCAATGAACTTCAACTGAATGCATAGGAAAATGATGCTAATAAATAAAATTTGGGAGCTAACTTGAAATGGTGTATACTGCTAGAGTCACTGTATGGAATTTTTGTAAGCAGAACATATAATGTGTGGAATAATTTACAGGAGGGATACGTCTTGTGGTGGAACGACACATCTTGAGAAGATGTTGTATTAATCCTGGTATACAAAATTGATTTAGTATACAAATACAAACTATTAGATTATTGAAGACTGTTTAAATGTTGTGTTCAATGACAAACTCATAATAATTTACATTCTATGTTATTAAAAATTATATTATTTATTTTGTAATATACTATTTTAATATTTTAAGTAGGTACTGTACTGTAAGCCGATTTTGTTTTAAATTTTGTTTTTTGAACATTAGTTCAGTTACCTAAACATTTCCCATTTAGGACCGCCTATGTCTACGGCCTCCTTTCCCGCAAACTCGACAATAACAGACTTGTGACAGTTAAATCCTGGTTCACTGTACGAATGCAAGATTGGCCTGAGGAACCTTTGCCTGTGCACGATTACTGTTATTTTCTCATCCATGCTGATTTGTTGATAATTCTTCAACAAATCTTTCAATGATAAAAAATTATTTACTTTAGAGGTCTATTAGATTAAATGTAGAAAGGACAATTAGGAAACAAAAACAAAGCCAAAAAGTTCAAGTTTAGTAGTATTGGCTAGAATACTACTCACCAAATGTGATTTGTTTTTGCTAAGTGCCACTTTCAAATAAACGCCTCACCAAATGTGATTTAGCTAAGCACCACTCTCGTTCGAGATGTATAAATTAAATATTATTATATCCGTGTCTTGGTTGATGCAAAACATTTAATTGCATATTTCATTGAAGAAATATATTTTTTCATTGAACTTTAGGCAAATTATTGAAAGTCGCATGGTAACAAACTACAGTTTAAGAAATAAACGCGCTCTCAAAAAAGTGCCACATTGAAACCTCTAAAAAAATACATAAGCACGCCGGCGCGTATTCAGGCATTTTATGATAATCATATAAAACAATTAACTGATCAATCAATAAATATTGAAATATTCATTTTAAGTGAAAAAGTGTTTCACCAATTGCCTTGAGACCTTTCCAAAAAACAAATTGTATTTATACAGACATAGTATTTATGATACTGGCGTATATCATCTTGTGTAAAATCAAATTACAAAACAATTTTTACAAACCCATGTTGCTGGAATTCCAGGCTTTCACTTTGCTTCACTTAAGTCTGTATCGACCATCATCTTCAGGTTCCGATTCATGTAGTTCAACATATGCATTGTATGCAGCATTCGATCCTGTTAATATTCTCATGGGAACCTTTTTTCAGTTTAAAATACAGTATTTTGTGTTATAATTGATTCATAAATCAAAACAAAACAAAATGTACGACTCTTGTCTTTAGGCACATGAACAGAATTCCATAGCGTTTGATTAGTGACCTTCATCTAGTTATCTCAAAGGGCCCAAAATAATTCATTATGTCGTATTGTTTTCTATATGGGGAGTGGGGTGGGTATGGTAAATTACTAACCGGGAAAATAGATACCCACTCGGACCCAAGATCCCAGTTACACGCCTGGTGTTAGCGCTAATGTGTGCCCTTGTGCGGACAGGGGGTGTGCCCCCTCTGAAGCTGGAAAACTTGTTTTTGCAAAATAAATTGATGCAATTTGCAAAAAATCACAAGTCAATAAATTCTTCATCAACCGATATAACCTTAAACATTCTTGGAATTTACATAACATTACTGATGTCGTACACACCCTTCAGTGTGAAATGTGGCTCTCTTTGCAAGCGCATTTAACATCTAAGGAAGGAAGAGCTTAGATTGGTACCAGATAAAATAATTTTGTTATCAACATTAATACATTATGCAAATTTTAATCTTTGTAAGTGCATAAGACAGTGCAAATTATTTCTGTGACAGTCTTTGGAAGTGTGTAAAGCTCCATTTTATCCCATACATAGTCGAAATATGGGGGGATGATACAATGGACCCCCCCCCCCAATGTCAAATATTGGGGGAATATATCCCCACCCCCCGGGATCTACGCATATGCATTTGAAAGTCCGTGCTACCCATTTGTAAGACTGTGCTACACATTTACAAGAATGCGCTACTTTGAAAAACTCCGCTAAAAAATAGATTCCTGTGAGTTTCTGCGCCTAGGGGGCTTAGTTGTTATAGTGATAGACAAGGGGGCTTAAGAGAATCATGAGAACCCATCTCAGAAAGTGCACTTACTCAAAATCGATGGGTAGTCAAGCCGTCATCTATGTGAAATTAGTCGAAATACAGGGCTCAATTTTGTAGATAATAAATATGAACCAATATAAATCATAATTTTAGCACATATCGATATTTATTAGGCCTATCTTTTTAAATTTCAGATGACCTAAGGTGAGACTACCAAATCCAAAAATACAAAGGTCACCCGGGTTCTACGGGTGCACCCCCTTGGATACATTTCCAATCATTCCGGGAGATGCTGAAATAAACAAAATTTATCATATTTTTCGATGTTTCCTCTGTCATTATTCTGTGTATGGAGACCCACTCGATAGTTTGTCATGATTTACTGTACCTGTAGTTCGCTTTTGGGAATCCTGTCTGTGTTGCTTTTACTTTTACCGAGTTGTTTATGTCATATTGGAGACGAAATAAATGGAATGAAATATAATGAAGTCCAACTAACAAAACTTATATAATATTTTTAAATGAAAATCTAAAATCCCGACTCATCATTCCCATTGTTTTTACCATCGTAATATGTTTTTACTCAAGTCAGTCTTCACTCTTGATACAACCGCTGAGCATATTTCCAGAATGATAATCGGCATTACAAGTTAATTCATCTGTATTACTTTTCTTTGAATAACCGAATGGGCCGATTTGCGTAAGATGTCCACATAGGTTTCGGTATACTGTACAAAATACAATGCCACTGTGTACAAGAAAGTTATCTTGGCCTGGTTACATAACACCTAACTAATCCTTCTAATTGGTCACAGTATTGCCAGGGAGTGTAGCGGAGGATATAAAATAATGTAGCATTTTAGACGTTCACATTACATCAGGAGTATCATGATGTTATAACTGAATTAAACCATTCAGGATAGACAAGGCAAAAATATTTCGGAGCAACAATTTTATAATTTCAGAATGAAAAACGATCAGTGAATTGCTCGAAAAGATGTATCGAGGGACGAGACAATTAGGATGGCCTTATGATATACCTGGACTTGAAAGAGATGGGCATCATTACGTAATAGTAGCTGATTCCATGAAATTTCTGGGCATGTATGCCGGACTACAGAATAAGGGATGGACAAGGTTTGATAAATTTGTAAATGAAAATGGAATGGTAGTTCGCCCACAATATACAACCAAACCAAGCAGCACGTCGCACCCATTTGAGTTTATCGTACTTTGTAGTTTTACTTTTGAGTGGTGGGCATCTACAGGACAAAGAAGACTATAATGACGACATCGATGAATATATATTGAAATTATACACATTGCGGGAATTTGTCAGAGAAAGGTGCATGGCATCTCTTATAAACGAACCAATTGCTGCTGTTATCAATGATGTGGATGAGCGCGCTAAAAAAGCTAGAATATCAACAGGTTCGATGATTAGACGCGTTCAACACGACAACAATCAGCCAATGCCACAAACATTGATGCAGGTCGGAAACAGAATTTCGCAGCGAATTCCCAAACAAAGGAAAAAAATAAGAGATTGCAGCAACCATACATGGCGGAGACAAATCCGACCTACTTGAAGCACTTGCTTGGTAAGTACTTTAATGAGTCGATTTATTCATGTCATACATCCAAATCAATTTTATTCCACACCCTCAATATTTACGTAGGTAGATCTACCGTGTAGTCATACATGTTAAGGAGCAAAAAACAGGCACTTTCGGTAATAGACCTCTAGCAAATATTTGGTCAAAAGTTTTTGAGAAAATTTGAATTATTTTTTCCTCAGGGATATTTCGCGGCCCTATAAAAACGATGAATGGGACAGTACACTATCTGCCGAAGATTTAATAAATGTACTGAAAAAAGGAAAATCATCAAGACATGCAACAGAATCCTTGTTTGACGAAATTGTGAGGTAAGATATAATCATTTTTTTGTCTTAAAATTATATTTTATTCAGAGGCACAGATTAGTTGAGTAAAACATTATCTGTGAAATAATGCAGTATTAATAACCTTTTCCACTATCAAAATGTTTACGCACGAAACTTTACATGCCTTAAACTATTTATAATGAAAAGATGAAAACAATTAACACTAATGCGATGATCCTGTTATATACCCTACGGGCGCAGTACTGTACAGACTTTTTTTTGTTGCAACTCTCATGCACGGCGGGAAAAACATTATCTGAATAAAAGTTTAAAACACAGCTTTATGAGTTGTTTATTTTTTTTTTCAGTCCAATATTTATAAACAGTACTGTGTAAATTTACCTATCACACGCAGTATTTACAAATAATAATAATAAAAATAACACAGATTAAATCATAACAATTAAAGTCAAATTAAAAGAAAAACAAGTTGCATTGCATTTTTTTACAATACGACCTAGGCGTATAGCTTGACATAGGCCTAGTCATTTTAATCCTAGTCATTTTAATCCTAATTTCCATAAAAATATTTAATCACTATAATATACAATAATTAAATTTTAAAATTTAAGAGTAAAAACAAAAATAAAGCACTGACAACAAATATTTAAATCACCAAAAATAAATAATAAATGTTACTTTACAAAAATAGCATGTTAAAAAAAAATCAAATAAAATAAAAGTAGATAAATGAATACTTCAACTGGTTACCTACTATACTGCATCAAAAATCACTCCAAATTCAAGCTGCTATCTGTCGAAAATCTAGATACATTACTGTAATTGCAATTTTACCCGAGCCTTGTAGATATAGTTTTTATACCATTTCGACCCTATATATTTATGAGGAGTTGAAGAATACATAATATAAGGTCCAAATAGCTCCAGTTACATTAAATAAAAATTATATGTCGATTATGACATGTAACCATATTGACTGCATATAAAAAATCATGTAAAAAATACACTGAAAAGTAAACCCTGTTAATTTCAAACCTGATATTTAAATATTATTATATTTAACAATTAAAATTTAAAGAAATACTTAAAGTGCCTCTGCCACCTATTCTGACAATTTTTATAAACTACAGCGTGTTTATATTTATAAGTATATTATAAACATAAGTGTTGGTCATAAATTACGAATAAAATTGATTTTGTACGAAAAAATGAATATGACCAACACTTGTGCTGTCTCTTATACACATCTATCACTCAATGACGTCATTGGTGACCGACTTTGCCAAACTTCATCCAAGCGCGAAATCAAAACAAACACTGCGATGGTGGCCTAGCGGAGGAAGAAAAGCCCGAACTTCTACCCTAGGCTGTTAGTATAATTACATAGTTTCCCGAGTTTTACACAATATTCCAGTAAATTGTGTTGTAGGGGGTTATAAGTGCACACGAAGTAAATATTTTACGTTACCTAAAGATAGTAAAAGACGTTGTTGAGTTAAATTTGTCAATTTTACAATTCAAATTTTCATGGGC